AATAGACCTAAATGCCATTTCTGACCAATTTTGTTTCCTTACAGAATAATTTGGATTCTTATTCTTCTTTATAAATTAAATTTCTTGTTTTCTTACCCATATTTATAATCAGGATGGTGGGATGGGGAGGGGGGCACAAAGCAACTTGTTTTTTGTTATTACCTATATAACAAGAAGATTTGTAATCTTATCCTAGAGCAAGGATTTCATTTGATTTAAATTCATCCTGGTAAGCAGGCAGAAAAAAAAAATCATTTGGATTATATAAAACATTTTTTTTTCACTACATCAAAAGTAAGAAATATTTATATATATTAAAATACACATATTTAAAGTGTTACCAGTAGAGCTTTTTTTTGCTATTTATCTGCTCATAATACATTGTTATTTTATGAAGGCTGATTTTAATTAGCTCGGAGACCTGGCTATTCTTCAATAAACTTATGTTGGCGAAAGTAATGTGTTGTGGTTTGACGTTTACCTGCTCAAATTTGCTAATAAACTCTTTATTTATACAGCTCCATAGGGATGTAATTTTATTATTACCTCCTTTTTATTTATATAGCTTTTTAACCCTTTGATTGACGGTATGGAGTGAGACATGCTTAAAAATCTGTTATTTCGTTTTACATTTGATAGAAGAATGAGGATCATTACCAAATAAAAAAGATAACATTTCATTAAAAATGTTAAAATTAAGAAGTATCGCATATCTTTAAGGGAATTCTTGAGGACGGTGGTGAATTGCTGCTGTATCACCGCCAGATGTTCCTTTTCCTGTAGTGTTATAGCTCTTTCCAGTAGAAATAGTGTTCTAGCTGTTATAGCCTTCCCCCCATACATTAGCCGAGACTTAATGTTGGGAGTAGATCTGATTTTATTCAGCACAAGCACAGTCATTTATACACTGACCCCCAGCATGGGGTCTCTATTCAACAACAAATGATCCCGCCCTGGTGTCTCTGTGTCTGAGAGATAATTGAGTTGCTGCTCGCTAAACGTATTATCTCCCGGACACAGAGGGCACAACACAAAAATACACCAAAGACATAACAAAACCAACCGGAACCCCACCACATGATACATCCCTGGATAGCTCTGATTAGAGCTCTCATGTTGGCAAAATGGCGCTCAGGTCCATACAGAATTGATGAATACCACCTGGGTAATGGTTTAAACGACCGCTAGCCATGTTCATGCCCAAAAGAGTTCCATGATGAATGGGGCTTTGGCCGGTCATCTGACCAGGCGCTCTCCCTGGCTCTCAAGGAGCGATTGTTCCATACAGTTCACCTTCCTAGGAAAAAGTGCTCTTTTAGCTGGTTGGGAAATGGGGGAAATTGGAGGTGAAAGTTGGCCAGGAGATGGGAATAGCTGCGGCCTGGCCAGAGTTCTAGAGGAGTCATAGATAAGTCCCGATATAGTCATTGCGGCTTTCTGGAATCCTGGTGCAGCCAGGGGAAGGGGTGCTCCCAGTTGTTTGGACTGGAGATGAAAGTGATGTCAGCCTGCGGTAGTGAGAATATTTAATATATAGAAATTTAACACTACCGGGTAAGACACGGGGGAGGGAGGAGAGGAAATGAGAAACATGGTGGGCTGAGGGAATGAAACACATGGGGGACTAGGGGATTGAGACACAAGGGGATTAAGAGAATGAGACACATAAGGGGGCTGGGGAATGAGACACGTGGGGGAGATGAGATCCATGGAGGAGCTGGTGGGGACACAAAGCGACATAGAGTGGCTTGGGTAGAAAGAGACAAGGTGCTGGAGACACACAAATGTAGCTTGGGGAGGGAGACCACCCAGAGAGGCACAAAAAGGGACAGTGGGGCTGGGACGGGGCAAAAGAGACAGACCAATGCTTGGTAGAAAGACAGCTAGAGAGGCTGGGGTGGGGTGGGGTGGGGGCACAAAGAGGGGCTGGGAAAGGGCAAAAAAGACAGAGCAGGGCTTGGGAGAGAGACACCTAGAGGGGCTGTGGGACACACAAAGTGACACAGAGGGGCTAGGGAAGGGCAAAAGAGACAGCTATAAAATGTTTCTAAACCTATTAGATCGAAGTCGTTTCCTCTAAAATTTACTGGAGATTTAGTCGACTACAACTAAAACAATTCAGATGACTAAAATACGACTAAAAGTAAAATGGCTTTTTAGTCAAAAGACTATGACTTGCAGTCATAGTTAGTTGAAATTTGCAGTGACAATTAACACAAGTAATTAATTAATGGGTTGTATGCTGTCATAACTTGCCATTTCTCTTACTAATGTGGCATTGCATACTTTGATATTTGGGTTTCCATATTTCCTTTTATTTGCTGCATTCTTATATGAATGCATAATTTGTTTTCCTTTTTAAATTGATTTTTTTTTTATATTGTCTCTGAGCATCCCCCCATTTCTCTCTCCCATTACCGCACCCAACAAATTCTCCTAACACACCCTGTGCACTCAGTGTGTCGTTACGAGATAATCATTCCCATGAAACAGCAGCCTTGTGCGATAATACATATGAATACTTCCTCGTGGTCCCTTTAAGAAGGAAATATTAAATATATTTATGGAGGCTTTGTCCTACAGAGCCAACAGTGTCTAAGTAAGAAGCTCCAGCCTTTCCAGTTTAGGTCAATAAGCCTAAATAAAGAAAAACGAATATTTTTTGCACCATATCAGGGGGCAAATAAATTTATAACAGAGAAGTAGTGCTCGCTCGTTCTTAAGTAAGAAATCAATTAGTACATCTTCCAATTAGTAAATCAACAATAGGTGGCCAGAGCAATTATTATATAGAATCATTTTTATACCCTTTTTTCATTTTTTGCTTTTCTTATATAATACGGGACCAGTATCATATTAATGTAGGACCCACCTAAGAGATTTGCCTTGATGTGACAGGTGGGCTTATATCTAATGGCCATTCGAGTTACCAAATAACCTCCATTTATTTAAATATGCACAGGGATTTGGGTTAGCGCGCAGTTTACGCTTTTCTTCTTTCGTTTTTATTTTATGTATTGGGGCTATGGTCATTGCTGCCTCCCAGGAGTACTGGGAGTTTAAGCGCAGGACTTAATTTTTGTGTATTTATAACGTATTAGTCCAGTGTTTTAATATTTTAGGAAATTAATATATACAGATACTTGTCTTTATGTCTAAAAGTGCAAGTTCCTAAATGCCTAATGCTATTGTGCCTTGGTAGATTGTCCCTGGCCTACACCTGTAGGGAGTAAAAAGGGTAATTTACTTATCTTTTCTTCCTTGCAGCGCTGGTCTATGTGCTGCTGTTCCGCCTCCTTGGATGAGAGCATTGAGATCAATGAGCTCAGCCAATCGAAAGCTTTCCCATGGAAAAACATTGGGAAGCTAGTGAGTGACAGATACGAGAGGCATTTATACCTTGCAATGAAAAACTGCTGTTCTGCACTTGTAGTGTTAAAATGGGGGGACATGGCACCCACACCACTTCTTGAGATGATCTCTGGATGCCTGTATAGTCCTTTCACATTTACTTAAACAGCATTCTCTAATAGCAAACTGAGAATTCCATAGTTTTTTCAATAGTTTGACGGTATTCAGAATTATATGCAGATCATGCCTCCAAACAGTCCCAATTCTGGTGGGTAAGTCCAGGTTTTTGCATCCTTACCCTCTGCCCTGACTTAGGTCCCTGGTGCTCTGACTTTGGGAACACCAAGGAACTGTTCCCAACAAGCATAGCACAAGTGTGTAAGAAGACATGCTTGCTAGTAAAGGGGGGTACAGGTCTTCTTCCAAGTGGCTCTGCCCCTTTTGAGGAGGAGCCAGTTACATGATTTCCTCACTGGCCCACCCCCCTCCCACTGGTGTCCCATTTCTATGGACACTGGAGTTGGGAGGTATTCACAGATACTATGTGATTTTTGACTCGTATGTTCCTGAGCCATATTTTTTGCCTCTGTTTGAAAGTCACAGGATAAACATAATCTCTGGTAATATTATGTTATTAATATATTTCATATTATCATTTAATAGTACTAATAATAAATAGTAAGTTATTAAACTGTGCTCAATCATTTTGACTACTTATTGTGGTATGACACCACGTGCTCTTAGCACCATAACCACTACAGCAGGTTTTATTTTAAAAATCTAATTGGAAATTCCAGGTTGGCAAATGACCTGACCTTAATGATTGTCCATCACTGTGAGGTATGTGATGAGAAATATAACCTCCTTAGCATTCTTCTGAAACCCCCATGAATGCGAGAAAAGTGTTTACATTTTATTTTTATTTCTTAATGCTTCAAAGCTCAGCACTGTCGAACAGACGGCTTTGCTGGATCATTTAATAATTCCTTCTGTAACGTCAATTTTAACATCACGGAACGTCTTGAGGGATTAATTAAGCTGTTTAGAATGACTTTTTCATCCCTTAGCGCCAATAATTTTCGGTGAAATGAATTGATATTATAAGATTTCCTTTCTGAGGAGAAAAAAAAAAATTCAAGAAAAAAGTTATTGTAAAAAAAGCTATGTAAATTTCTGAGGAAGAGGCTCTTTTAATGCTTTTGGCAGTAAATTTCACTTAAGTCTTAACTGCTCTGAATTAAAATCCACTTTCCTATGAATAACATGAAATCTCCTTTCATTTAACATTAAAGGGTTATCACTCGCTGTAAAGTTCTGTGAACAAACTGATTCCAGAAACTACTTTGCATTTACCTTGAATATTCTTGCATATGTTAATTATGCACTTCTCTGTTCTAGAGTAAACAGACATATTTTGAAAAGAACGTCTTTGTTTCTAAATCCTCCCGTGATGGAAGATCCTGTGGCATAGACTTTTACAGAGGTTTGAAGGCCAGCCTCCTGCCCATGAACTATGGAAAAAGGGGCTATTGACACTGAGGGGAGTGGTATGGGGGCCCTGGATGCTTACTGTGCTTCTCAGCAGGACTTGAGAAGCTTAGGGAATCGTTTGGATTAATTTTACTAAACAAATGCCTGTCCGGGAGATACCCTAAAACACTCTGAAACTGTTCCTCAAATCGAGACTATGCTGAGGTCTAGTAAATCTTTAAGCGGGTATCAGAGGAGCTATCTATTCGGAGGTACCCCCAACCTTCAAATAGAGCACTAGATGGATGGGAGGTCGGGAAGGGGAGGAGGCATCAGAGGATACCTGGGGCTTGAGAACCCTCCACGCCACAGAGTTCTGGGACTAAATCAATGCACACCTGGAACTCTTCATCAGATAGGAGAATAGCCATGGCCCGGTACAGCTTTAAGACACTGTAACTCTGGCAAATATTCTCCGATCCGGGCACTATTTGGGAAGCAAAGGATATATATTGTGAGGGATTATGGTCCAGGGAAAGGTTTTCAGTCAGACATTTTGTGTGTTATGCCTTTAGGACTGTTAGGGCACAGCAGGGAGTTGATTTTGTTATCTGGGGATAATGTAACCAAGTGCCCAAAAAAAGTAGTGCTTTGGAGGAACTTGTACTGACCATTCCATTGTATGGAGGATCCTCTGCAAGAAGAATCGAGTCAGCAATGCAGTATATAAAAAACTGTGTTCTGTATAATAAAGGTCATTCTACTCCCTGCATTAAAACTTGTGTAATGTGTTGAGAAAAGCTATAGTCAATGCTTTACAGGAGAGAAGGTCTCCTGAGCTACAGTCTCTGCAGCCCTGGTCAGTAGAAGAGGTCCTCAAAGACCCCAGTCTAGCTTTGGTGATTGCGTCTGAAGCTCTTCAGAATCCCTGGTAGCAGAGAGGAAGCTGACCTGGCGGAGGTACTCAGAGTACATGTGCTCCATCACACCTCTACTCTTGTAATTAATTATGTTGCCTGTCTCAGAACCCCATCCAGCTCAGTTATGTCTTTCTTATAAACAAATCCCCAAATGTACTGCACATTGAAACTAGATTTGGTAATTGCCATCTATTAAATTTAATAGAGAATAAATTCTGTTTATAATGAAAATTGCCGTCCATCTCCACGTCTTCACTGTTCCTTACTCATGGCTGTTACAGGGAATTCTTGGTAGGCGTGTAATGCTATGTTATCACACACACAGTAACTTGCCTGTGGGTTAGTAGTGCCATAATACTAAAATGTATTCAGGAGATACTGTCCAGAGGACCACTCAGATCTTGGGAACCACTTAGGATATATTTTAAGAGTATGATGCAGCCCCGGGATTACAATACCACAGGTCATCTGTCACATCATGTGCAGCAGGTGTAAGGGGAATGCAAATTGGATACAGGAGATGCCCATATAGTTCTCTCCATCAACCTTGATAATCCAACCAATACAATGCAGTGCCAATCATACAGTCTCTATGAGACCCTCTGACTGTAATGGCCAAGTTTCACTTAACTCATGGGTTTGAAGCCACTAGAGGCATTAAAATCTTGCAATGTAAACATAGTCGTTCATGCAGAATGGCAATATTTTACAGGTACATTTTGCAGGGTTAAAGCAAGAGGGGCATGGCACTAAGATGTCTTCCATGAGATGAAGTGGTTTAAGTGCCGTAGTGTCCCTATAACCCCATAACGTTCTCTCCAAAGTACCAGGGTCTAGAAAATGATGCCCGTCTCCTGGGCCCAGAGTTCTCTCCACCAAGGTGGCTACAGGTCCGGTTTTGGGGATTAACTTTTATGAGTTAACCCATTTAGGGTTAAATAAACAGACCCAGGAGACTGGGCATCTCCTGAGAGCATGGGCTGGGGCCAATTGTTTGACTCCACAGTAGTATTATTGGGGTCCAATAATACTACAGAAGAGTCCAACAATTTTTTCTTTAATTTACTATTTTTTTGTATTTTATTTAAGTATTTTAATATACATTTAAGTGCCCCAGTGGAAAGCAGCGACTAGCTCTGCTCTCTGCTGCTATGGCACTGGAAGTATTACTAGTAGATGTCAAAAGCAGGAGTTGGAATCTTATGGGTAATTATTGGTCATTAATATCTACTGGATGTTACCAACAACATATGTAGTGGCAACACTAAAAACGATCCCTAAGTGTTTTCACACAGAGTGATATTTGGTGTCTCTTTCTCCCATAACTGAGTACTGTGGCAAAAGATAACAAGGGAACAATGTTGCAATGGATATACAAGTTCAAGCAGTAGATATCTCACTCAAGAGCCACGGGAAGTCTACAGATAAGTAAACCACAAGATTAGACCCACAAGATTGTTTACCACTGCCTGCCCAATGCCAGTGAGATATTGTTCCTGCCTTAAATAAATACCAAAGACTACAGAGTACTCAGGTGCCAGGGAAATAAGGCACCAAACACACTGTTAATGTCTCAAGCTGCACTGTATCCTTTCTCAGTTGTTTAATTGCATGCTAATTTTTATATCTAGTTTTGAAAGACTGATTTTTTTTATGTATGGCATATTCTTTTATATTTTTTTATATTTTTTTTACATTTTGAAAAATATTAAAGGAAGGTCTTAATTAAAAAAATAAACAAACATAAATAAATAAATACATTTTTAGTTTTGTAATTTTGTCCTATATTTTGTATTTTCTTTAGTCAATTGCCCACATTTTTATTGATTAAACTATAATAATGTTATTAATTGTGTTCAATACAGTGTTGGATACCTAAAGGGTTGATCTATTACTAGAACACTTAGAATGTAAATTAAATTAATATTTCACATATGTCCAAATTTAAGAGCATTAAAGGGGATCTGCCACTTCTACGGGTTTTTAATATTATGTTTACTTATCCCCTGTATTTAGCAAATATGTATTTGTGAGGTCTGAAAAATTGAATTAAACATAGAAATTTACACCACAGTATTTACCTTCACCCTGGAACTAAGTGCCTTCATCTTGGCTTCCTGTCAATCATCATTATAAATGTTGCCTTCTTCTGCCACTGAACATAGTTAGTGGAAGAGACAAAACCATGCAATACTTCTGCTTTTCTTCATTTGCATTATGTGCCCTGCTTGTGCCTGATGTAAGCAGTATTGTGATGCAACATTTTACTGTCACTGGGAAGTAAAAGTGAATTTTTAAAATTTAGGTGAAAATATTAAAAAAATTATCCAAACCATTTCTTTGTTCCGTTTGTCTATTTTGGCCTTATTATCAATTATTTGTCAATTCTTACTTTAGTAAATAACTATCTCAGCAGCCATCCTATATTATTCCTATTTTATCGTGATATGTCTATTCGTTTTTAAGCTTTATATTAGTGGGACTTAATTAACAGTTTTAGAAATATTTTAAATTCTGTTTTCTGATTTATAAATTGTTTATCTTGTCTACAGATTCTTTGTTGTGTGTGATACCATTGTACAGCGCTACGGAATTTGCTGGCGCTATATAAATAATAAAATAATAAAATAATCTACGTAATATTCGAATACTTAAAATATAGTACTCCTGGGTTTGACAAATTGGCAAGTTTAATTGCGGACCATGGTGCAATCATGCTGGGATCTCACTCCTACACACAGTTTGTTTTTAGCCAGCTAGAACCGTTAGCGGAGTCAGCTCTGCTTAGCTTGCTATCTGTTCTTCTCGAGTTGACATAAAAGAAAGACAAGTTATTACCATATAAATGAGATAAGTTCTTAGATAATTGCTCAGTAGACGTAGATGCAACTTGCTTGTGGCCGTATGTAATAAATGTACTTTCTTAACCTTTTTGTGTATTTTTCTTAGTGGTTTTCTGTTTTGTTATTTTTTTATTTTTTTTTTACTTTTTTCCCCACACAATAATTTTTGGTTTTGCTATTATACTAAACAAGACCAAAAAAAATAATAATTCAGCTCTTCAATCCATTCCTATTCTAGGATGTAAAAATACGTTTTCTTCTTAGCGACACATTCCCTGTTGAGTCACTAGATCAGATATAGCTAATAGATGGAGTTACTGTGGGTGAGGATTTGTCATGAACCTGTGTCTTTGGGTAATATTAAAGCATGACTTTCACTGAATACCAAGTATAAATGGAATGTAGAACAAGAGAAACTACTGAATCTAATGATTGTCCTAAGTCTGAAACAACCTCTTATCAGGACTCCTGATGAGAATAGCAATTTAAATAGAAACACTTATTAGGCCTAATATATTTCTAACTCTGTTACATGTTTTGTGTACAATTACAAAATCACTTCCAATCATAGAGATCTGTATGAGTATAATGCTTCACAAAGGAAGACACTGTCTCTCAGTCTCATGTTATTTTATGAATATAATGCTTCACCAATGGAAGAAATGTCTCTCAGTCTCATGTTACTCTATAAATATAATGCTTCACCAATGGAAGAAATGTCTCTCAGTCTCATGTTATTTTATGAATATAATGCTTCACCAATGGAAGAAATGTCTCTCAGTCTCATGTTACTCTATAAATATAATGCTTCACCAATGGAAGAAATGTCTCTCAGTCTCATGTTATTCTATGAATATAATGCTTCACAAAGGAAGACACTGTCTCTCAGCCTCATGTTATTCTATGAATATAATGCTTCACCAATGGAAGAAATGTCTCTCATTCTCATGTTATTTTATGAATATAATGCTTCACCAATGGAAGAAATGTCTCTCATTCTCATGTTACGCTATAAATATAATGCTTCACCAATGGAAGAAATGTCTCTCAGTCTCATGTTATTCTATGAATATAATGCTTTGCAATAGAAGAAATGTCTCTCAGTCACATGTTATTTTATGAATATAATGCTTCACCAATGGAAGAAATGTCTCTCAGTCTCATGTTATTTTATGAATATAATGCTTCACCAATGAAGAAAATTTCTCTCAGTGTCGTATTTTATGAACATAAAGTTTCATGATGGAAGAAACTCTTTCTAAAGCTTGTGATATCTTATGAATGTAATTCTGTATGAATGGAGAAAATCTTTCCTAAGGTTTTGGTAATTTGTAAATGGTATGTTCCATGGAGGGAGAAAATCTTTCCCAAGGTTTTGGTAATTTATGAATGGTATGTTCCATGAAGGGAGAAAATCTTTCTCAAGGTTTTGGTAATTTATGAATGGTATGTTCCATGGAGGGAGAAAATCTTTCCTATGGTTTTGTTAATTTGTGAATGGTATGTTCCATGGAGGGAGAAAATCTTTCCCAAGGTTTTGGTAATTTATGAATGGTATGTTTCATGGAGGGAGAAAATCTTTCCCAAGGTTTTGGTAATTTATGAATGGTATGTTCCATTAAAGAGAAGAATATCTTTCCCAATATCTTGGTATTTTCTTATGGAAATTTGTTATGAATGAAGAAAGTCTCTCCCAACTAATTTCCTGTAAAAGAAGATAATCTCTCACAGTCTCATGGTAAAGAAAGGTAGTAACAATTTCATAGAATTAGAAAATATCTGCTAATCTCGGATTAATGAAAGAAAGTAATGCTTCGTGAAGGAAGAAAATCTCTTACAATCACATAGCAATTTATGTAATTAACGTTCTGCAAATTGAGAAAATCTTTCTTAAACTCATGATAATATATGAAAGTAATGCTTCATGGAGTGGGAAAAAAATCTAACAATCTTATGATAATGTATGAAAGCAATGCTTCAAGAGAGGAAAAAATCTTCATCTTCATCTTTCTTTCATCTCCAAACCCTATGTAACTGAATGGAAGTAACCCTTTATGAAGGAAAACAATCTCCCACATTTTCTTGTTAAATGAGAGTTTTGCTGCGGCAAAGGAGAGGTTTTTACCCAGCCTAATGGTTATTTCTTAGAGAGGCTGTTTTGTGAAGGGATACAGTCTGTCCCAATCTCACACCTAATAGTTTGTGAAGAAGAAAATATCACTCAATCTCATGGATTTTACTCACATCTCTTGGTAATAAATGAAATTATTTTGTCAAAAGATGGGGGGAAATTTCATACCCATGTTATTGTATGACAAATACTTTCTAAGAAGTAGATAATTTCTCCCCAAACCAATTATATGGAAAATAAATAATCTATGACTAATGACGATTGCTTTCAATGTCATTGACTCCTTTCTTAAATCATGGCGATGGTATTTACCACATTCCAGCCCTACACCTTTTTAGATATTGATACGCAAACTGCAGAATTCACTGATTACCCAGACTCTGAAATAAACAGACTTATGGTGATGATAATAATGTAAACACTGATCACACAGCTCAGCCATTCAGCTAGTGATATTAGGAGCTGCCGTACAGTTTCTGGCCACTGGGTGGCAATATAGAACCCTTACATCAGGGTAGGGGTGAACGGTACACTGTTGCATCTCATTTAAATACAGATTGCTCCTGCTCATACCCTATTTTTGTAGCATACATTGCAATATTTGGAAATTCTGGAAAAAAAAAAAAAAAAGCACTATACATCTAATAGCTGCATATACACACTATGAATTGTACTTTCCATATCTGTAACAAAAAATCCATTAATAACAAAGAAATTGTAACACCTACAGTGTATAAAGTCTAATAAAGGAATTATAACACCTACAATGTATAAAGTCTAAAAACAATGCATAAAGTCTGTGTTGGGATCACAAAGCCAAAGAGACACGAACTGGGCAGAGAAACAAGGAAACCTTTTCTAGACAGTACAGCGGAGGACTTATTGTTTTGTTCATTTAAATTAATAAATTAGAAGAAGAAATCATTACATCCATGTACTTCATGCTGTGCCTATAGAAACACCACTTTACATTTCGGTAATCCATTAGAAACAATCTTTTTTTTGAACAGCTTTGAGAGAGATAATGCTTTGCTGAGTATTCTGTACTTGAGGAAATGTGACTTTTTTAGGTACTTGGGACCAATCACAGGTATATATTATAGGGACACCTAGAATTACCACAATGGGTTATATTTCATACAGCTCTGCCACATAATGTTACACAACTGTATGGCCTGCAAGAATCAAGCATAGATAAAAGAGATGCATATTTGGAGTATTTGGATATTTTACAAAGATTTATTTAACTGTTCTGATCTTTATTGATTGACATAAGCATTGTGTATGTGGTGCAAGTTGTTTGATTCAAATAGTTTCTTTCTTTTTTTTTTTTTGTCCATCTAAATTTTGCGGATTCTCCAATTAAGGTTAATTAATTTGTTTTAAATCTTTTTACTTTTGAGCGCAGTTTAAAAGAAGATGAGAAACATATGTTTGCCTACGCAGAGGCTAATCAGGTCAGCAGAGGATCATAACAGAATAGCGAACTGGTGCAGTATAGTGACTATAACATATGTGACTGCATTTCTTAGTATCGTATAATTATATGAATTCAACATAACAGAATTAAGCCTAGAGATGATCTGGAGGCATCATGCATCAATTTAATGGCATATTAATCAGTAGGCAGCAGCAATCAATATCAGTGCATGTTAACAGGCCTTAATAACCGTAATATTTCAATACAAATGTATGTGACCATACATGCCTACAGTATGGATTTAAGATTGATCAATGTAGAACATGGTTTAGAGTTGCTCTAACGAGTATATATCGAAGATATGCTGTATGTAGAGATGAACATGTAAAACTTAAGAATAATGGTCCAAAGTCAATGTGTGCGAAAAAGATGAGCATTTAATTAACGGTACATACAGGAGTAATTATCTGCAGGTAACAAGTGTACACATAACACTCAAATAATGGGAGGCATGACTACGTCTAGGAACAGAATAACTTGAGTCATGGCCATCCTAAACAAACGCTATTAAGCAGTTTGTGCCAACTGTGAAGAGAGAACATCCTTGGAGAGGACAGTAGGATGATGTAGCGGAGATGCAATATTACCCCGGTTATCTCCGCTTATAATCCAAGTGGGACTCAGGAACAAGTAGATAGTAAATCCACAGGCAAGGCTTCCAGCAGGTAAAATCCAGCAATATCCCAACAGCAATCCCAATAACTGGACGACAGACAGTTTCAGGAGCATAACTGACAAGCCTTTAATCACAGTCTCCTTATAAAGCATGCTCCCATGCAAGGGAGGGATTTACAGTAATTATTACAGTAGCCAATCCCAGGGACGTATTAGCCGCGAGGCAAACAAGGCATTTGCCTTGGGCGGCATTTTTCAGGGGGCGGCAAAAAACGCCGCCCCCCAAATGCCCAGGGCAGATGCCTTGTTAGCCTCGCGGCTAACTGACATCCCGGGCGGCCGGCCGGCGAGGGAGCACTTCCCATGAGCTGACTGCTCAGCTCCCTCGCGCACCGCAAAGTGAGGCTGGGAGCCGGAAGATGACGTCATCTTCCGGCTCCCAGCCTCACTCTGCAGCCGACGCGCGAGGGAGCTGAGCAGTCAGCTCATGGGAAGAGCTCCCTCGCCGGCCGCCCACCTGCCAGCGCCGCCCGCCCGACCTGCAGCCACTGGACCACCACTAGGGCAGCACAAAACCAGGATACACCACTGGCCAATCCTGTCCTGGTAACCTCCCACACATCTCCTCCCCTCAGCCAGCATCATAATCCCCTTATCCAGCACACCAATTCCCCCCATTTCTGGATGTACCCCTAAACGTAGGGGTACCTCTTTAAATCCTACATCCCCTGGTAGCCCTGATCTGGGTGAAAAACATATCCAAAAATCACCCAGATCAGACCAGGGGTTCGGGAAAAGTATGGAGGGAATAAAATGACCGACCGCACGAACTGAGATAGCCGAATTCGGTTCCATGTGAATGGGCCTTGCGGTCGGTCCTGGCATAAGGGAACAAAATACACGAAAGCCTCTAGCTATAGAGGCTAGGGAGGATTCGCCTGAATCCCCTCGTTCGGTTCTCTCTATCTACCGAACGAGGGGCCGTTCGGTAGTTTGGAACCGAACGGACCGGGCTTGTGGAGGTCTCAGCGGTGTTCGCCTACTCGAGTGTCCGATTTTAGTTCCAGACACTCGACGGCAAAACACCGCTGTTCGGGAGTTTTAAAATGGCCGCCGCCACGTGTTCGTTTGTCGAATGGCGGCCACCCCGAGAACAAAGGACGGCTACTTACTGTTCAATTACCCGTTCGCAACAATGTTGCAACGGGTAATTGAGGACACACTTCACACAGGGGAGGTCTAGTTGTTCGGTAGTTTCATTCGAATAAACTAAGGGAATGAAACTACCGAACAATCAGAGGAATACAATTCTTTTTAATACATAGAAAATACAGCAGATACACGCATGCAGGTTTATACAGTATATTTGTAGGGTCGCCTGGTGCCATCCGCTACAGATGATAAGTAACACTTAGGCAAAATGGTGCCTAAGAAAGACAGACAAATAAAAGGAGAAGGAGCCACCACTTCTCAGACAGTCAACTTCAGCATATCTCCCCAAGGCGAAGGTTCAGCCACGGAAGGGCCGTTCATAGCACCACAGCATAGGCCTCCCCAGGCAGTTCAGCCCCTATCTGCCCCCCCAGATCAGTCCTAACCCAGCAGCAGAATACTCCACAGCATCATGGCCACTCGAAGGTCAGGTCAGTCCACTGGGCCCCCCCCCTCTAGAGTCCACAGACTCCCTACCCCCTGCACCTCCCCAACACCTTTGGAGTCTCTGGAAGTGTATGCTCCTGCATGTCTCTCCTGACCATATTTACAGCGAGGCTAACAAGGCATTTGCCTTGGGCGGCACTTTAAGGGGGGGCAGCAAAAAATGCCCCCCCCCCCCCTTAAGTGCCCTGGCACATGCCTTGTTA